TAGCACTTGTTATCGGGAAAAAGGCTTTTCTCACTGTTTTGCGAGCATAAATTTTAATGATGAGGATACTGTTTAGTTGTTGCCACCTGCTTCAAGTGTGTATGATGAATATGCGTTTATCGATGCTGAAGAAGCAGTTACACACCTTCATTTGTCAACCTTGGACGAAGACGTTATGGCTGCAAAGGGACCAGATTCTGGGCTTGGTTCAGAAGGATCTAATCATTCATATACTACTAGTCCAGCCCGGTAAGAAGTCCAACACAAATGACTTGCTACTTTTGAACCGTAAAAAATATGGTAACTTCCACTCGTTATTGAAATATAGACTACATACCTAGAACGGACTGATTTTTTGTTTGAAGGAGATTTTTTATCCTTGGGATGGCAGAAATTTAAAATAGATCTAAGAATAAAAGTGGAAATTTGCAGGTCTTCGGTGCATCTTGAAGACGATGAAGGTTTCGAAGCAGATGGAAAGCGTAATGTACCTGCCTTACCAAAGTTACGCTTTACCTTACCTCCAAAAATATCGCAGGAAAAAAAGAAGAAAGATGACGACGAAGAGCCTGGTTATCGTAGCCGTTTTAGTTCTAGTTAGTGAAGAACAAACTCAATTGCAGAGATTTGGTTGTTTTTAAAAAAACGGAAAAAAAAGAATTTGTACGTGAAAGAAAACTGTGAGCAATTATTACGTTAACTTTTTAATTCATTTATTCTTTTTTTTTTTTACAGTTACTCAGTCAGGCTCTTCAAGCGGAGTTTCTAATAATTCTCCTGATGGTGGAAGCCCAGCTCGGCGTATGTCAGTGGTCGAAATTCATGACAAAAATTTGAACAGTTACGGTCACTACAACAGTTTTATGGGTTCCAATCATGGTCCAATTTCATCAAGTAATAAATATCTCCTTGTATTCATTTATAAAAGGGAACTGTCAATGAAAAATAACTTTTGTTCAGTTCAATTTTGTAAAAGACAAACTGTTTGTTTTCACCGGCGGTTCCTGTTCGTATTCTCTTTCACCATTTTGTTTTTTACTTTATTCATTGACTCGCAAAGTTATTTGACAGTTGCTTTTTCATTTGAGCAGCACTTGCAACTTGTTTTTTTTTTTTTCATTGCTTTTTTTTTTTTTTTTTGCTATTAAGGACAGTATTTTTAAAAAAACTGAGCAGCAAGCAGAATTGTTTGCGTTTTTTTATTTATAGCAGGAGATGTCTGATAAATGCAAATATAGGTAATAGGGGGAAAAATTGAGATTTTTTTTAGTTAATTTGAAAACTATTTATATTGTCGCTCTTCTTGTATTTCATTTCTCTTTCTTTTTGAATAGAAAATTAACATAAAATTGCGGTCAAAACACAATGAGAATATTTCTTGAGCATACCTGGTATAAATTTTGTTATTTATATTCTGTTTTCAAGGATGGAAACCCACGATCGGCATAGTTCTGGTTACATCTTTCATTAAAACATTTACAGATCTGATAAGTTTTACTATAATTTCCAGGTACTCATACATATGCTAGCGACAGTGCTGTTGGGCAGTCAATTGGTTTAGGTTATTCTGACGTACGAGTCAGTTCGCTTGGTACAGCTGATCGAATATCAACAACTACGGACGTGCTGCTGTTACGAGTAGTATCCTTTGCTCCACCTGCAGTTAAAGGTAATTTGTTACAATTTGTTATGGTTTTTTCTTATGAAAAAAATGTTTTTATTGATGTATTTATGTTAACTCTCTTTCTGTTTTCGAGTAGATAATAATCATACAAGTTTGTTTACAGCAAAATCGGACACATTAGTTGTTACCGAAGTTTTGAATACAGCGTTACAACGAATTTGTGATGAAAGTATTGTGAACACCAATTTTTGCGCTCTTAAATGGCTGTTGTACAGGTTTTTTAAATTGCTTTATATTGTTTTATAGTTGGATAAAAGTTTTATTTAGTTTCTTAACACTAATTGGTCTCTTCTCTCTTTTTATTTCCCTAGATTTTAATAATTTTAGAGAAGGAGAAAAACTCAAGTAGCGGTGATAAAGACAAAAAAAAAAAAAAAAAAAATGGCAGTGTTACTCTTTTTTTTTTTTGCTAGTTTCTTACATAATACGTTTAGTGATCAGAAACTGCCGTTGGCGTTTAAATTTTCTGAAATTGTTCAACCTGGACTAGCCACTGAATAACCGTAATAGTTAAAGATTACTTTTAGAAGAGCTGCTGTTCACTGGATGACATTTGGAACGTTAACGTTATTCATTCGTCTTATGGCATTTTTGCTCTCAGAAGTGCATGGTAAGCAGATTTTCACTAGATAACGTTTTTACGACTTCAACTTTAGAAGTACAAGGAACTGACTTGTCTATAATGATTGTCCGTCCACTTAATTATCGTGCTACAAATTACTTAGTGCGTTTTGATATCTTTTTGTCCACATTTTTTTACTGTCTTTGTGCTTCTGTGTCTGTAACTGGGTATATGCGTGCCAGTTTCAATGAGCTTCTGTGTATATGCCTATGTCTGCTTGTTTGGTGGTATATTGCAAGCGTTTAAAGTACAAAGTTTGGTACAGACTAAGTTACCAAATGATAGTCAAAGATTTCTCATTTAAAAAATGATATTATCATTTAAGCAAAACCAACAATTTTGCCCAGTAAACAATACAGATTTTTGTCTTACTGATTAATTTCTGAGGTACTTTTGGCGTTTTATGAATAATGTATATGTACAAATAGTTATATAGTCATCTCGAAAAATTCATAACTTTTTTTTTTCTTTGAAGCATAAACTGGCTTTTGCAAAAATTTTTTTTATCAAATTTATTATCAAAATAAGTTTAAAAAGTATTTTTTATTTTCTTCTATGTTCAATCATTTTCGCTATTTCTTCAGTGAATTGCAAAAGAACAAAACTGGTTGATGCCAAGTTTGACTGAAAACTTTTTTTTTTATTCCTCATTGATCTGAGGAATTTTGTGTGAAATAATTGTGTTGATAAATTTTTTTTACTTCTGTAATGTGAGCGCAAAAATTGTACAATAGTCTGGATGTGCCTGTCACTGCGTTTTCTAGTTGGGTTTCCAAGAATCCGATCAGGCAACCCCAATAAGTTTTGATCCTGTCCAGTTGTTGAAAGCGGCTGTTGCAGTAGAGATGGAAGTGCTGAAGCTGTTGCTGTAGCATATAAAAGGGCCATTAGTTGGTCGATGTTGTACAGCATCGAAGTCTCCTATTTGCGGTTTGGTTCCTCTGATCTTATTCTAAATATTGCAGCTGGTTAAACACTTTCCTGCTTTCTTTTTTTACTTTCTAATTTTCTAATAATAAACCGGTCAAAAACTTTCGTCAAATAACCTTTCGCCTTCCTATGTAAATCGAGAGAAAGCAAAGGAAAAAATTTGAGAGACAAAAGACTCTCTTGAAATTGTGAAGTTTGAGGCAAAGAATTATTTTCTGTTTTATTTATTGTTTACTTATAAATTTATAATTTTTTTGAAAAATTTGAAATTTCTGACCGACAGTTATCGGTCCTTCATATCAAAAGTTTGCTCTTAATTGTTTTTACCAACTTTACTTTTTCTTTTATTCAATTGGGATCCCGCTTTCTGAAATCAGAAAATTCATTGGATAAATGGGTAGAAAATAAGAAAAAATTAAGAGTGGTTCTGTTGGAATTTGCTTATCATCTGTACTTTTTCTTGCCCTGGCTTAATTTGTTCTTACTTTTGTCATACCAAATTTTCTATTGGAAACTGTGTGCCGAGGCTACGTTTTTGTTTCTTGATTCCTTTCTTAAAGCTTCCAATTAGAGTTTTGGTTCTGGTATTGATAGTTTATGTACATCTATTTCACATCCTACCATCAAACAGCTGTTAGCAACTTCTACTGCAGTAGCAAGCAAATTCGACCTGTAGGACGCAGCAGTAGTTAGGTAGGAAGGAAACAGAGATGGGAGTAGTGTATTAAGTGAAAGCGGAATAGCACAAGTGTAGTGGGATTCCTATCTGAACGAGAAACTGAAGGAGATTTTGGTTACTGATGAATCGCCAGAAGAATGGTTTTTTGTTTGGTAAGGGGAAAGACATAGGCAGAGAGAGCTTATAGGTACCGTGGCAGCTGTGGCAGCAACATAACGTTTTTTTCAGTGGTTTCGTTGTTAATTCTTTCTTCTACTTCTGAGCCCACCACTCTCATTTCTCTTCAGAGTTCTATACGTACAGCTAAAGTGACTTATTAATTCTCGTCTTTAGTCTCAAATAACCAGTTTTTGTTACCCGCTTATATACACTCTTATAAAAAAAAAAAAAAAAAAAAAAAAAAAAAAAAAAA